CTCTCTCTCATAAAAACTACAAGTTCCATCTCTCTCTCTCTCTCTCTTTCATAAAAACTACAAGTTCCATCTCTCTCTCTCTCTCTCATAAAAACTACAAGTTCCATCTCTCTCTCTCTCTCTCTCATAAAAACTACAAGTTCCATCTCTCTCTCTCTCTCTCTTTCATAAAAACTACAAGTTCCATCTCTCTCTCTCTCTCTCATAAAAACTACAAGTTCCATCTCTCTCTCTCTCTGTTTCAGGTACAAAGCAATCCCAACGCTTGATTTGTGGGGCGCTGGTGTTTGTGACTTGTTGGATGTTTGTGTCTATCGCCACCTGCCTGTTTTGGGGCGGGTGGGGGGTGGACATCTTCATCCTCCCGGCGGTCACGTCATCGTCCTTGACCCACTACGCCCAACACCATCGGGAGCCCCGGAGGGAAGCAGCAGTCGCAGTGTACCACCTCAGTAGGCGAACTGACGGCATTCACAATTTGTTCAAATACTTGGTGAAATACTTCGGAAAGTGAATGAATGCCTTTTTTCCATTTTTTAGTATGGTAACTTTTATTGTAACCAGTTTGAATCGTTCTATATTTGGAATGTGTACATGATGCTAATTATTTTATTCAATTGTGTCCCCAAAAAAATAATTTTTTAAAAATACAATAAAAGGAAATTGGAAGACAGACATAAGGAGCTGTTGATTTGTACATCAAAACTATTCTATTCTATTCCAAGTCGTAGTGCAGGAAGTTCCGATGTTCCAACTCGTAGTGCAGGAAGTTCCGATGTTCCAACTCGTAGTGACGGAAGTTCCGATGTTCCACCCATGTTTTTGTACCTTTTTTCTTTCTCCTCATTTTTTTGCGCATGTTTCTTTGAGCTGACGTTTTGTGGAAGCAGAAGCAGCCCAGTGTACACAGCTGTCGGGTGTGTGCGTAGAAAGAAGTGTCTCGGGGCACTGCGTGCGTTGTGATATAATGTGCTTTTCGAAAAAAACGACACGGTTCTAAGTTTCTCTCTTCTTCTTTCTCTGTAAATATAGACTGTGTGATGAGTTTCTAAAGCTTTACCCAGTTCCACGATTTTTGTAGCTCTTCTTTCTCCCCGTAGGATCCGCGGGACCGATCGTGGAAACTAGATTTTTATCGCCACCGATTCTGTACCTTCTGCTCTGCGTGTTCTTTCAACTTTTACGTCATTTTATCGTTTTCGTTTTTTTAAGAAAGAAACTTTTTAACTCTTATTCAGAAGGGTTTTGTTTTTTTTAAACACAAGCTTTTGTGTCTGTCCTTCCCGAAGGAAGTCGAAAATGAGAAGGAATATTTTTAACCTTTTTTAAAAAAAAGTTTTCAGTATGTTATTGTAAAGTTTTACATCAATTCCCAAGCTTGAAAGGAAGGAGTATACCTGCCTTAGTGGTGGAGTTATTTTATTTTTATATATTATCGCGCTATTATCGGCCGCACTCACGTGCTTCGAGCTTGTTTTGGGTTTGTTTGTTTTTTTAATAGTGCCGTGGAGGGGTTCAGTCGCAGCTGGCCTGGTTTTACTCCCGCGGGTGATGAGAGCGGAGGAGGAGGCGAGAGCGGGAGAGGGGGGAGCAGGACGACCATGGTAGTCTCTTCGTCTCCCCCTCCCGCACGGACGGACCCCCGAGACTGGGCTGCGGGCTGAAGGGTGGTCAGTTTTATCGTGAGCGCGCCAGCCACTCTTTGACTCTGAGCTACTCATTCGATCGTTCGTTCGTTCGTTCGTTCGTTCATTCGTTCATCATTCCTCATCCATTCCTCATAATATTTTTTTTTTCGTTTGTCTTACGGAAGGTTAACTTTTGCGCTGTGACAGTAATCATTTCTATTTGTCGATATATATATATATATCTATACATATATACACGTCGTGCTCATTGCTGTTCACCAGTTTTTACACCATGTTCGTCGATTGGAAATGTACATCTCGAAACGAAATGTTTTTTTGGTTGTTGTTTTAAGTTGCTTGGGTTGTTTGTTTTTTGGGAGGTTTTTGTTTTGTGTTGTTTTTGTTTTTTTAGGTTTTTGTAGACTTTATTAAATCAGTAGACAAGTTTTGATATTTCAATGTACTGTTTCCCGCTGATCTTTACGGTCAGTGTGCATGTTGTTTTAGTTTAGCTTTCTGCACATATTATAGAATTTTTTTGCAAATAGACCAAGTATATTACAGAATGCATGCTTATACTCGTATATATATATAATGAATTAATTTTCTTCTCTAGCTGACTAAGGCTATTTTAATATTTTCGACATTGGGGAGGGGGTTTTTATGTGCCTATTGAGGAAGATGAAGAAGCAGGATTTTATTTTTTTTTTTTTTTTTTTTTTGTTGATTAGCTGTCACGGGTTTGAAAAAGAAGCTCATCCAATTGGAAATTGATACAACTTCTGAAACTCTGAATATCGTCATCTAAAATAATTGAGGCCTTTTAGTTAGTTTTTTTTAAACAATTTTCAGTGTTCAGTTCTAGCGTATCAGATGAGCAAGTCAAGATATATATATAGATTGCTTCGCCACCCGCGCTACTCACTCAGGCGACATCATCGCGACCCTTTTATTCAGAATCACGACAATTTTAATTTCTGTGGCCATGATGCTTTCTGGGAACAAGTTTCCCCAGTTTATGAATAATATATTGTATTTTCGGCTTTACACAATACCCACAAAGCATCAGTTCTATTCTCATGATTTGAACAAATATTGTTCCATTTTCACCGATTTAAGGATTTTTCCAGTCTGTTTTACGCTTCATGCATATATGCAGGATATGCGGCTTTTAGTTTTAAAAGGCGGTGAGTTTCATTCACTCTGTGTGCAAGAGAAAGCTTGACGTTAAGTTTTCTTAATTCCCCCCCACCCCCACCCCTTTTTTTGATCACAAGGAATTTTTTTTATGAAGCCAGGATTTTTTATTGTTTTATTGACCACCCACCTAATTGGAATCAGGGATCTGAATGTCGTGGGAAATATTTGAGCAGTGGACTGTAAGATCCAGTCTGTGCCGTGACTTTTAATCACATTTTATGCGGTCGAGTAGGAAGGAATAAAAAGGAGGATTTTACTAGTAGTGACCACTCGGTGAGAAATGGAATGTAAATTAATTTTTTCCCGTACGGGGTCACAGAAGTTGGAAAAACGATCACAGTTGATTGGATAGCTTTACGGTATATAATAATGCTCATGTTATGTGGTGTTGTCCTCGCGTAGAATGAACCAGTGAAAATTTTTACATTCAAAATTGTAGGGCAACCGTTGTGTACTTTTTTTTTTTTTCCTCCAGCGAAAATTACCAGTGTGTGCTATGTGCAATTTTACTTTTCCGTGTATTCATGAGCATCGAGTGAGTGGAATTTACATATTTTATGTACATGTATTTAATATATATCATATATATATATTATATTGACACTTGCTATGTCCCATACTCCCATCGTTCCAAGCATAGAGGGTCTGCTACTACTACTACTAGTTAGAGACGAGTCATAAGTCGTACATTCCAACGCTGAAATATGCCGAGAGGGGGGGGCCGCCCAGTCAACTTTGCCAGCCCCAGTGTAGCAGCTGCAGCTTACATAGCTCTGTCTTGAGTCTGAGGAGGTTCTCTCTCGCTGGCCGGGTGCCGGCTTGCCTGCCGGGTCTGTCTTTAACTTGTCGGGGGGAGAGAAACGGAAAATGATTCTGAGTAGAGTGGGGTCAGGAGAAGGCTTGAAGAGAGTTGGGTGGTTGGATGGCTTGAAGAGAGTTGGATGGTTGGAAGGGTTGAAGAGAGTTGGGTGGTTGGAAGGGTTGAAGAGAGTTGGGTGGTTGGAAGGGTTGAAGAGAGTTGGGTGGTTGGATGGGTTGAAGAGAGTTGGGTGGTTGGAAGGGTTGAAGAGAGTTGGGTGGTTGGATGGGTTGAAGAGAGTTGGGTGGTTGGAAGGGTTGAAGAGAGTTGGATGGTTGGAAGGGTTGAAGAGAGTTGGGTGGTTGGAAGGGTTGAAGAGAGTTGGGTGATTAGAAGGGTTGAAGAGAGTGGGGTGATTAGAAGGGTTGAAGAGAATTGGGGAGGTGTGGTAGAAGTTGGCCGTGGCCCCCTCTGTCCCTATGGCTGTGTGTTTTTCTCGGAGCATCTTTCGCCATCTTCGTCATGTGTCACTTCTATCTTTACCGTCTTTGGTCATTGTGAGTTTCTGTAACCGGTCGTAACAATTATTATTATTAACAAGTTTTATTTACAAGTCCCCACTAGATCTGGAAATGGTTTTGTGTGTCGTCGTCAAGTCTGTCAAACGTTTTTTTTTTAAAGTTCCACGGTTGTTGTTAAAAATTAAAAAATTTTCGTCATTGTTTGATCTTCGAGCCTTAGATAGATAGATTGTGGGGGGTCGGAGGGGAAGGAAGGACCGTGGGCATGTGGCGTGGTGCTGTCTGTCCAGTCTGTGTTGTAATGCTAGCTATGTCATTGTCACTCGTCGGGATAGTTTTCTTGTCGTACCAAACGTTAAGTTGGTTTTTGGTTTTTGTTTTTAATGCTAACTTTTTCTTTTAAAAATTTTTGATCAGATTGGCAGTTCGAACAAGAAGTAAATGGGGTGGGTACCTAGCCAGAAGCAATGAAGCTTGAAAGATAAAAAATGCTACGTTGTTTTTCGTTTCGTCACAGCTTTGTATATTGCTTTCTCTAGCAAGAACACCATTTCCACTAAAATAAAAAGTCAATAAAAAAAACAACAAAAAAGCCACCACAAGTGTTTTCTTGTTTCTTATTTCACTTACTCCCAACAGAAAAGGTAAGTACAAATTTTTATTTTTTAAATGGAAATTGCCCACTGTTGTCTTCTTTGATAGTAATAACCAAGTTTTGTGGACATTTAAAAGGTTTTATGACTGCCACATACAGTGGAACTCGGATTCAACGATGTCGCGGGCCTGACCTAAAATCTCTTTGAATCTGACGCGTTTTTGCCGACCTGACACGCTCAGAGTCACATGTGTGCAGACCGCCCATCCAACTCCCAACGTGGGTGGTTGGCGAGTGCTCTGGTGTGGTTTGCTTCTTCTTTCTTGTCAAACATCTGTCGTCCTTATCTCCCCTTCTTCTTTTTTATGTTTGTTACTCTCTTGTAACACCTCTAATCTTCTGGCGCTCATATGACCTTATGCAGTTGCGAGAGCCAAAAAACCCTCTACTAAAACTAAAAAACAACTCCCGACACTCGCGTGCCAACAGTGCGTGTGTTGGTTTGAAAGAAGCCACTCGCTGTTCGGTCGCATGCAATCGACTAAGTGAATAATGGTTCACGATTCAGGTACAATGGAAGGTTTCCGGGAATAGATAAAGTTCGTTGTGGGAGAAAAATGAGCGAAGCCACGTCTGTGCGGGCTGTTCACCCTGGAAGCGACCTCGTTGAATCCGAGCTTGCTGATTTAAGTGCTCGTTGAATCCGGGTTATTTTTATTGATTTTGAAGAAGAAAAAAAAACGGGGGATCCATCTCCTCTGGTTGAATGCGAGTTTTCCTTGAATCCAAGCTCGTTGAATCTGAGTTCCACAGTTCAGCTTACGTACAAAAACAACACAGATTTCACTCTGTCTATACGAACTCAAATCATGCATTCCGGACCTTACCAATAGTCGTGAGGCAGCGTGGTGGAATCAGGCTCTCGTCAATTTTGGGGCATATTGAGTTATTGGTATCATCTTAAAGCTTGTTCATTTGTTCTGCTTTCATTGAAAAAATTACCCATCCGTCTTCAATAGAAGTGGAGAGATTTTGGATTGAAGGAGGTGGGGGTCACCTGGTATTTAAGAAGTAAAATTTGCGAGAAAATGGCCGCCAAAGCTTGGTAAATTCCAAAGCTGGAGAGTCCATGGAAACTGTAAATTTATATTTTTGTGCCTTTAGTCAAGATTTTTTGGTGAAATCCTCCAAGGAATGTGTTTATAAATGGACATAAAGGGTGTTGAGCCAAAAAACAAAAATTTGATAAAAATTGCTAAGCAGGGAGAAAACTGCTGTTTTTTTTCGATTTTATTATTTCGACGAGAGCCTGATTCCACCACGCTGCCTCACAGTAACAGTTACTTCTTCTTTCCTATCAAACATGATCTATCTGTCTTATCTCTCCTGTTTTTTATGTGTATGTTACTCTCTTGTAACACCTCTAATCTTCGGCACTCATATGACCTTGTGGGTGGTTGGCGGTTGCTTTTGGGGAGGTTTGCTCCTTTCCTATCAAACATCTGTCGTCCTGATCTCTCCTCCTTCGTTTTTGTGTTTGTTACTCTCTTGTAACACCTCTAATTTTCGGCACTTATATGGCCTTTCTGTGTTGCAAGTGATGTAACATTTTTACTAAAACTAAACTAAACCAAGGGGCTCTCGTGGCCTAGAGTTTAAAGTGTTCACCTCTCATTCAAAGGTCCTTGGTTCGAATCCGGAATGCGACAATTTTTTTTTCTTCTAAAATTGTCTCCTTTCACGTCCTTTCCTGTTCTCTAGCAATGTTCTGTCGTCTGCTTTCGTCTCCACTTTCTGCCCCCACCCCCTCTCCTCTGGGCTCCTGACTCTTCCTGCAGCCTTTCTACTGCTGCTACTCCTTGGCTGCTCCTTGCTGCTGTCTTTCTACCATACCCCTGATCTTCTGGTTGGAAAGATCTGCACCTAGCCTTCTCGGACAAGGACGAAAAATCTCGGAGGTCCCATGTGAAAGTTGCGCACATTCAAGATCCCTAGAGTCTAGGTGATCTAAAATTGATAGATATAAGCAGGCTTCGGCCGCCACCCGCGCAAATTTCAATATTGCCTACCTACTGAAAATACTAAATGTGTCCTGTATGCTCATATGACCTTATGCGGTTGCGAGCGCTGTTTTAAAAAAATTTTTAACTTACCAAAAAAAACATTAAATTAAAAAAGTAAACCAGATGAAATTGACAACCAGCCAAAACACTAGACACACATCCCCATAGAAGAAGACTCGCCCTTTTCTTTAACATCTACAGGAACATCCTGTACCAATGAATGATGATAATTATAATGATGATAACGATAAAAATAAAAATAATAATAATAATAAATGACATTTATATATTGCGCTCAACCCCGAGAGTACACAGGCTCTGAGTCTGAGCGCTTTGTAATACTATACAATACAACGTACTTTGTTTTTGTTTGTTTTTGTAGAGGTTTTACGGCACTCGCAACTGCATTAGGTCTTATGAGCGCCAATACAATGTACAACAGTAACATAAAACGTTGTGACCAAGAAAGACCTGGATTCGGGGTGTGAAAGATACCCGGAGAACATTCAATATCCCACCCAGCCAGGCCATCAAACTTGCTAGAGACAGGAAGCTCTTTCTCCCCTCGACGCCCTAGGGGTACAAGAGGACGGATAAAGTTGACGTCATTTTAAAAATTTTTTTTTTTTTTTTTTTTTTTTTTTGGGGGGGGGGGGTCCTAAGAAAGATTACAGAAGATGACAAGGGGGAGGGGGGTCACTTTTGGCTAAATTTTAGCTGACGGCGTTTGTGAACTGTCCCCCAAGCGGCCAGGAGTCTGTGGTGAAGAAAGTGTCGGTGTCAGCTGAAGTCATTTCTGTTTTTAAATTAAAAAGATGAAATCTAGATCTAGAAGAGAGCTGACAGAATGATTGGCAAACTCGTGATTTTCCACATTCCAACGTTTTAGTTTTATCAAAGACCGAGCAACGTAAACGAGTTAGATCTAGGCCTAATATAATGGTCGCTTTTAAGCACAAGGGGGCTATCCCGAAAAAGGCTGTTTTGAGAAAATCGAAGGTAAAGTTTTTGGATCCTTATTCAGTTTCTTTAAAAGACAAGGAGAGTTTTCTCTGTAACCAAACAAACATACACACCAATGAAACCAAAAATCTCCTGTATGTAGGGCAATGTGCACTCTTGGTGTTGGTCAAGATTTCTGGAAACCCACAAAATCTGGGTTAGCCCGCTTGTCCTTGGCAGCTTGGGCCAGACCGCGAATCTGACCAATCCCGTGGCAACATTCAGCAGGAATTGGGACGGTAAACTCAAACAAACATGGCGGCTGATCCAAAGAACACACACTGTAAGTGGTGTGCCGCAATAAACTGCACTAATTCAAAAAACAGACGACCTGAATTAGCTTTTTTTCGTTTTCCTAAAGACCCTGAAAGGTAAGTCAACTGGTGGATAAGTAGATAAAGCTTAAATAGCGTAGATCTCTTGCTATTATTTCGTGAAAAATTGTTCCAAAACACACACCTTTCCTTTGTATTTGTTGTATTCACCATAAATGAAAGCGTTTGTTGTAACTTGTGTTTTAAGTAGATCTAATCTAGATCTAGATTCTAGATGATCTAGATCTGGATATATCTAGATGTAGATTCTAGATTAGATAGGCCTATAAGTTCTAGATCTAGATCTAGATTCGATATATATTGTAAATCTAGATCTAGATAGGTTTTAGATCTAGATATAGATATAATCTAGATCTAGATTAGATTTTCTAGATCTAGGCTTCCTCGCATCTGGAGATAGTCTAGTGTCTTTGGTTTAGATGGATCTATGATAATAATAATATCTAGACTAGACTAATCTAGATCTAATTCAGTTCTCATCTCCCTGTCAAGATCTAGAAAACAATACATGCTGTGTTTTTAGATCTCTAGATCTAGATCTAGATTTAGATTCTTTGGCACTTTTTCGGTTGTTACCCTAGGCGTACCTTCCACCGTATGTGACCATTTTGGTTGTCAGTCCAGTTTTCTCCTTTTTTTTTTGTCCTAAAAGAAGGGGGTAGGGAGTCCCTCGTGCAAAAACAACAAAATGGCAACAAAAAGGGGGTGGGGTGGTGTAGGGGCTTCCCTGCTACAAGTACGCTAAAATAATAGTTTGCACTTGGGACAGTTTTTGGTGTCAAAATTGTTCTTGGCGGAAAGTAGGGAGTAACAGACAAAGATATTTATAAGCACTGATTCTTCTAGATCTAGATCCTAGTTATGTGGCATTCTCGTGTAAGAACCGAAATGCCTAAATATCATTTGGCTTAATACACTTTACCGTATTCGAGTGTATTGTAAAACAACGACACCACAGGTTAGAGCATAGATCTATATAATATAGATCTCGACCTGAAGCTGTGACTTGTATAGATGATCAAGCACAAGTAGTTGATCTATTTACTAGTCTTGTTGATGATGCACTGATCAAATTAAACTAAATCTGTTGGTTTAAAGTAAATTAACTTTTGCTGGTAAAAGGGGCTGAGACAACTAGATCTAGTAGCCTACTTGCAGAGTGGAGACAGGCCTGAGCAGGTATGTGCTAGGAAAGAGATGGGAAGGGGAGACGGGAGGAGTTTGATAACGGGCATCATTAACCCTCAAACTCAAACTGCATCTCTGCCTCAGACTTCTGAACTTTATTTATAGTTTGTTATGGCATAAATTATAATTAAAGGACCTCGCAGTTTAAGTTTAAGGGTTAGTAGTCAGCATGTTGCAGTCAATCATTTCGTCTTATTATTCAATCAATGCCGCCCAAGAGGTCGATAGAGTCATTGTTATCCTTCATGTCGTCTTATTATTCAATCAGTGACATCCGTTTATCGATCCCTTTCCAAAAAAATATTTTTTTATCAACTTTCAATAGTTACATTTCTTTAGTGAAACATTGGTGTTAGATAAAGAACAAGTCCAGGCAGTTAATAGTTCTTTATATCAGAAGTTCTTTAAAACAC